GAAGGGAAGAACTCATTAAGGTGGCCAGACACAGTGGCTCACACCTGTAACCCAGCAGACCAGGAATCTGAGGCAGGTGGACTGCTTGAGCTCAGGAGTTTGACACCAGCCTGAGCGAGAGCAAGACCTAGTCTCTACGAAAAATAGCAAAACTAGCCAGGCATCGTGTCAGACACCTACAGCCTCACTGCTTGGGAGGATGAGGCACAAGGATGGCTTGCACACAAGAGTTTAAGATTACTGAGAGCTATGATGCCATGGCACTCTACCCAAGGCAACAAAATGAGACTGTCCTAAAAGAAAAAAGTTCATTACGGAGGCAAGACAGAAAATTAACTGCCTCCATAAAGAACAACAGAGTCCAAAGCCTATTGGAAGAAACAATCCCCTTTACGATGCATAACGGAAACATCTCTAAAATACAAAACTTGAACACGTGAAAATCATGTTTCAGCAAACCTTTAAGCTCCTCTCTGAACACACAAAAGCAGACACGAACTAACACATAGACACGTTTGGGTCTTGGTAAGAATGGTGAGTGGCTGGGAGATGCCTTAAGCTCCAAGGCCCAACAGCCCGCTGACAGTACCCAGCAGGTCCATCTGTAGACCCTTTCCCATAAATGCCTGAGTTGGACCAGGGTAAGAGTTGGATGCCTTTCCTACCCAATTCTATATAAAATATAGATGGATATGTTTTCATTCTTCAAGTAGTTAGATCCAATCAACCAAGTAAGTTTTATGTCACAGTCCCTTCATGCTAAATTATTAGCCTCTGCACAACTTCTCAATATTCAGATCAGGTCTGGACATCGCCATCCTCTTTAAGGTCAGTTCCAAAGTATCTCTCCTATGATACTTGCATTTTGTCATGGCAAGTGCTGAAAAGCCAGCTTTGCAAAGGTAACATCACCCTCCGCAAAAGTATAGCTGTATATAAGGCTGATGCTATGAGCTAGATGCCCACAGATGTCTAATTCTGTTTCTGTCAACAATTTAAACTGCCCTGGGGTACCCTGGCACACACAGCTTCAAAAGCCGCTGCACCAGAAAGTGATCCTTGCTTTGTGCTGTTGGCAGAGAAGGTCCTGCATACCAGCTTAGCAAGCCCACTTCAAATCTTGGCTCCAGAAACAAAAGAATGTGTGGGGAAAATAAGGGTGTCTACCTCACCATCTAGTCAAAGGAATAAGTAAGATGAAGGAGAAAAATCACATAGGTCAGTGCCTGGCAAAAATTCAGCCTTCTATGAAGATTAGCTCCTTTGATCAATTCAGATCCACCTGCCCATAAGACCTTATATACTATCACTTCCCTCCCTCCTTTCTTCACACTCACCCATCATTTCCTTAAGAACCACTTCCCACAATACCCATTCTCTAACACAGCAGTCTGCATGCTGCTACTAGAATTTCAATCTAATGGTGACAAAACCCTAGTGAGATAGACTAAGACCACCATCCCTCTAGCACATAAATGCACACATATATCTAGCACACACACACACACATACACATGACCAAAAAGAAGAAGGAAAGACCTATTTGGGGAGGTAAATACAAATTATCTTGGCCTCTCCTACTCTTCTGACAATGCCCAGCATTCAAGCAAAAATTACAAGACATGGAGGAAAACAAACATTGTCAAGGAACAAAGCAATCAACACAAACAGATACAGAGGTGACCTATATATTAGAACTATTGGTGGGATACTTTAAAATAACTACTGTGTTTCCCTGAAAATAAGACACTGTCTTAAATTTATTTTTTCTCAAAAAGACACACTCGGGCTTATTTTCAGGGGATGTCTTCCTCTCCACACTGAAATGCATGGCCTGGCTATGCAGATATGCTGCATAGCCATGCCCATCACTAGGTCTTATTATCGGAGTAGGGCTTATATTTAACAAATGCATAGAAATCCTGCTAGAGCTTATTTTGGGGGTAGGTCTTATTTTCAGGGAAACACGGTATGTTAATGTTCTTGTGAGATAGTTCTGGACCAGGTGTGATTTTTATCCCTTCATCTCCAGGAGATGGTGAGTAGTATCTAGAGACATTTTGAATTGGTACAACTAGGGATAGAAATATCACTGGCATCCAGAGATCAAAAGATACCACTTAATGTTCTAAACTTGAAAAACACCCAGGACAGCCACTATTACAGAGAATGATCCATCCCAAGGTCAATACTGCTGGGTTGAACAACTCTGGTTGGTAGAAAACATAAATAACAAGCACATACAGGCTCGGCACCCATAGCTCAGTGGTTATGGTGCCAGCCACATACACCGAGGATGACAGGTTCAAACCCAGCCTGGGCCAGCTAAACAACAACGACAACTGCAACAAAAAACAGGTGGGTGTTGTAGTGGGTGCCTATAGTCCCAACTACTTGGGAGGCTGAGGCAAGAGAATCGCTTAAGGTGGGATCACGCCTATGGTTCATCCTATAAGGGTACATGTGAATCTCTCTAAATGTAGAATATAAATGTCTTAACACAATAACTAAGAAAAAGACATGAAGGCTATGTTAACCAGTTGGATGAAAGTACTTCAAATTGTATACAGAAACAGTACACTGTACCCCATGATAGTATTAATGTATACTGCTATGATTTAATAAAAAAAAAAAATTTCTTTTTAAAAATTCAAACTACAGAGAGAGAAGAGAGAGAGAAAAAAAAAGAGAATCGCTTAAGCCCAGCAGTTGGAGGTTGCTGTGAGCTGTGATGGCACAGTACTCTACAGAGGGCAACAGAGTGAGACTGTCTCAAAAAAAAAAAAAAAAAAAGCAAGCACATACAGATGGGATATTTCATCGAGAGGTGAAAAGTAGAAGAAAAAGACAAATGGAAATGCCAGAAGTAAAATTTGTTTCCTAATGATACCAGAGATATAGAATTCTTTCAATGGCTCATGAGTAGACTCAGAGAAACCAGCAGGAAAAAAAAAAGTGACTGTGAAAGGTAGGTCAATATTAACAATTCAATCTAAAAAACAGAGGGAAAATAAAGAGTGAAAAAAAAAAAAACGGAGCTGCCAAGATTTGTGGACAATATCATACAATCTATTAATACTACAAACATACTTGGAATCCCAGGGGAAGAAAGTGGAGACCTTTTTACAGATGATGGTTGATTTTTTTTAATTTTTTTTTTATTTTTGCATAGAAGCACAAGACTAATGAGGTTGGTTTTTAATTCCCTTCTCTGTGGCTTTATGTATTTACTAAACACAAGTGAACATACAATGGCTATCCTTTTACAATTAAGCATTTTCTCAGTCAGCTAAGTCTTCCAAACATGTATTTAATTTGCTAAAACTAACAAGATCTTTCATGTTAATTTGACAAGAGGGTTCGGTGTAGTGCAGTCACAACCGCCTGTTAACAAACACATAACTTTTTAAAAGGCAATCATTCACGTTACTTAATCTCAAACTGACGTTTCCTACTGGAAATATGATCCTTCCACTACACTTAAAAATACAAGATGTTTATCACAGTATTGCTGAGTAATACTTTACTAGAATTCATGGATCTGTGGGATGTAAGTACTTTAAATCAGTAACTTTATTTTTTTTGTAGAAACAGAGTCTCACCTTATTGCCCTCGGTAGAGTGCTGTAGCTTCACAGCTCACAGCAACCTCCAACTCCTGGGCTTAGGCGATTAAAACAGTAACTTTCAGTATTACTGAATTCAGTATTAACTGATTTCAGTAATTGAATTTACTTGAACGTTGATTTTTGTATTTTCTTTAATTTCACACAAACACCAGGCCAGTTGAAAAGGTCTCCCCAGGCAATATGAAGCCATCTGCATTCTCAAGTTTGTCTCCGACAGAGGGTCAGATAATGCACCTTGATGCTTGTGATATTTAAAAAGCAACCTTCATCTATTCTATGTTGGAAAAATTACTCACTGGGCCTCTGCGCTTGGCACAGCAAAGTGCTCAGAAAAAAAAATGTTCACTGATAGAGTAAGTTCATTGATCCCCTTAATGAACCAATCAGAGGTTAAGGATTCTACCTTCAACCCAGAGCAAGCAAAACCAATGAACTACAATCTCAATGTCTGTGACCCCACAGCAACAAAAATCTGTATGTTGATTTTGAAGGGGATGGTGTGAGAGGTGCAGACTTTGGGAGGTAATGAACCCATAGGGGTGGGGCCTCATGGATGGGATCAGTGTCCTCATAAAAGGGACCCCAGAGAGCTCCCTCACCCTTTTATGTGAGGACACAGTGAGAAGGCACCATGGATGAACCAGGAGCTGAGTCCCCACCACTCACGCCATCTGCCACACTGGGATCTTCAGCCTCCAGAACTATATAATAGTGATAGCAATAATAGCAATAAATGTGATTTATAAGCCTCAGTGTCCTTATAAAAGGGACCCCAGGGCACTCCCTCACCCATTCCACCATGTGAGGACACAGTGAGAAGGTGTCATCTGTGAACCAGCAGTGAGTCCCCACCGCTCACAGCATCTGCCACACCCGGATCTTCAGCCTCCAGACCTGTGAGCAATAAACATCTGTGGTTTATAAGCCTCTCGGTCTGTGGCATTTTTGTTATAGCTTCCTGAAAGGACAAAAAATAAGGTGCAAATAACACTTCCAAGGTACACTTCTCAACTGGATCCCTGAGGACAGGCTGATGCTCAAGAGATTTTAAAAAGTGAACCCAACTCGAAAACAAGCCCATTACCCTTCAAGGGATCAGGGTTGTGGGGTGAGAGGAACACTGGGGGCCACCTGGTTCGGAGAAACACCTTCTTCATAAAAACAAGTGATTTTCAATGGGTGTGCCACAAAAATTTTTAAAGATCATTAATTAAATCATTCTCAAAAAAAGTTCAAAGCACAGTAAGTATACTCTTTTTTTTTTTTACTTTCTTTTTTTGCATTCTTTTGGCCAGGGCTGGGTTTGAACCCACCACCTCCAGTATATGGGGCCAGCACCCTATTCCTTTGAGCCACAGGTGCGGCCCTTTACTCTTTTCCTTTTTCAACATAATTTAAGTGTTTAAACTATAGAACATGAAACTTTAACTACAGGTTCAAGTGCGCCATGAGATAAAAAAGGTTGAAAATCAATGCTATACATGGTAAGTGTATATATAAGGTCCCAGTAGTAGTTATGATACCAAGATGTACCACTCCCTGGTCAGTCTCACACAGTCTCACTAAGACTATGCCATGTGTTCTTTGTATATGAAAAAAAGGCATAAACTAGATATAACATTTTTAAAAAGCCTTGTTTTTACGTAGAAGGGTTAAGTTCTAGTGTGTATGGGGAGACTCCAGTCAACAATAATTTATTACAAATACTAGACCCTCCATACCTGACCTAATTTTAACCCTCCTTATGTTGACATAATTTGACCAAACATGTGTCTTCTTGAGGAAAAAATAAATAGAAGACAGTGTCTTATTTTCGGGGAAACATGGTGTCAGCATATTAAGCCTAGTTCCTTATACTGACCACCTCTGAGTGTTGACCAGGTTGTTACTGTCCCTTGAGTGGTCAACTCACAGACGTTCTACCATATTTTCAGAGAGCCAGAAGGGGAGCAGTTCAATATTGTCAACACACAT